AGGCATCTGAGAGAGCAGCAGAAAGAGGCCGTTTCAACTTCAGAAAAGATCCTTTCAATTCCAAACTTCGAAAGGAGATTATTTAGATTTAATTTTAATTTAGTTTTAATTTAATTTTAAATTTAAATTTAATTTAAAGTCAAAACTGAAAAGAAGAAGATGATTTCCAGTTGGAGTTGAATTCGAAATGCGAAAAAGACCATTTTGGGATCATTTTGGACCAAAAAAGTGCGACTTGAAGTTTAAATTGAAGACAGAGAGAAAGGGAAGTGAAATAAAATGGAAAAGAGTCTTTAAAAGGCCTTTAAATGATTCAAAATGGACTTAATTGGTCTTTTTTTGGTCTTTTTCTCACCAATGCAGTGCAGGTGGAAAATGTGGCCGCAGGCCCCGAAGGCCGGGGGGCAGTCGTCGCCCGGAGTGTCGCAGGCGGCGCAGGGCAGTTCGAAAGGGTTGTCGCAAATGACGCAGTGGAGGTCTTCGGGGACTTCTTTCCACCTGCAGACGCCAACTGTGTGCACTGCGAGCACTTCCAGCGCCTCGAGGCCCCCCATTTGCAAAATAAAACACTTTAAATCATCTGCCGCGCGAAAAAGCGGAAAAAACGAGCCCCGGACACCCCAAACCTGGGCAGACACCCCAAACTGTACAGACACCCCAGCAGCCTCGCCGACGCCGCTGCCGCAAACACCCCGAAAGCGCAAATATAAACCGCGCAAAACAATTTTTTGTTTCTTTTTCTCCTCAATTTAAATGTTTTTATTCATTTAAACCTTTCAGCTCTTCTGGGCTCCGCTTTTTAGCCGGGTTTCGCCGGACGCGCAGCGGAGGCGCTGCATGCGCAAACACACCCGACCAGCCCCAAAGGGAACAAAGATCTGCTCTAGCGCCAGCCAAAGAGCAATTAATTAATTAAATTAAATATTTTAAAATAATAATTTAATTTAATTCAAATTTTATTTATTTCGCCTTCCGTTTTGCTCCAAAACGAGCGGCCTCGCAACAGCCGGGGCATGGGGTGTACGTACACCGCGCTGCTGTGCTCCTTTCAACGAAAGCGAACTCTTTAATTCATTTCTTTCTTTTGCATTTATTTTAAATTAATTCATTAATTCGTTTTCAACTTATTTAACGCAAACAGAATAACACCCCGCCCCCCATTTCGCCCTCGCTTCTTCACATAGCTCTATTTGCACACTTGCATACATATATATATACACATATATATATACAAATCTATATATATATATAAATATATATTATACAAATATATATTATACAAATATGTATAAATATAAATAAGACTATATATATATAAATGTATATTATACAAATATGTATATATATATATATATGTATATATATATATGTATATATATATACGTATGTACGTACACATACTTATATATGTAATATATATATTGCGTGCAAATATACACTCATATATCTGGGCATTTTTGCACATATATTATATATATATATACATATACATATATATATATATATATGTATATAGATATGTATATAAATATAAATATATATATAAATATAAATATATATATAATTATATAAATATATATAGATGTATATAAAAATATAAATATATATATACATATATATCTACAAGTTATAAACCACTTTTGAATGGATGTCCTGTTGTCTCGCCGTTTGCACATGGCTGATTCAAACCCTAAACCCTAAACCCTAAACCCTAAACCCTAAACCCTCAACCCTGGAGCCAAAATCCCAATGTTTCTGCCCTTCGTCCCATTGTTATATAGAGAGTTTGAATTGCTGCTTTTGCAGCTGGCAGAAAGCAAAGAATAAACTGTCTGCAGCAGCAGCAGCAGCAGCAGCAGCAGCAGCAAACACGAAACCGCTGCTGCTTGCGTTGCTGCTGCATGTAGTGCTGCTGCTGTTGCTGCTGCATCGCACGGTGCAACAGCTGCTGCTACATTTACAGCCGCTGCTGCTGCTGCTGCTGCTGCTGCTGCTGGAACAACACCTCTTGCTGCTACTGCAGCAGCAGTAGCAGCAGCAGTTGCTGCTGCGCGAGCAGCTACTACTATTACAGCAAAAGCAGCAGCAGCAGTAACGGCTACTGCTGCTGCTGCTGCAGCAGCAGCTGCTGCTGCTGCTGCTGTTAGTACCAAGGCAGCCACCCCACATACATTCGCGCGAGATTGTCTGGAGATGTTGCTGCTCGAGCAGCTACTACTATTACAGCAAAAGCAGCAGCAGCAGCAGTGGCTGCAGCAGCAGCAGCAGTGGCTGCAGCAGCAGCAGCAGCGGCTGCAGCAGCAGCAGCAGCAGCAGCAGCAGCTGCTGCTGCTGCTGCTGTTAGTACCAAGGCAGCCACCCCACATACATTCGCGCGAGATTGTCTGGAGATGTTGCTGCTCGAATAAGAGCATCTACCTGCGCATACACCCCAAGGGTCCCGCTGCTGCTTTGTGCTGCAGCAGCAGCAGCAGCAGCAGCAGCAACAGCAGCAGCACCTGCTGCTCCTGGCGCGCTCAGTTCTTCATCATCCGACTCAACAAACGAATCTTCGCTGCTGCTGCACCCGTCCACCTCTCCCAGCCCTCTTTGCGGCTGCTGCTGTTGCTGCTGCTGCTGCTGCTGTTGCTGCTGCTGTTGCTGCTGCTGCTGCTGCTGCTGCTGCTGCTCAGCAGATACCTCAAAGGCCCCCGGAGGAAGGGCCGAAACAGCCCCTCTCAGCTTCTGCTGTATAGCCACTATGCATGCGTAGGCTTTTCGCTCTCCTATTTTTGCTGCTGCTGCTTCTTGCTGCTGCTGCTGCTGCTGCTGCTGGTGGCGCGAGAGAGACGCCCGCCACTCGATCAACGGATCTTGTAAGAAGCTCTGCAGCAGCAGCAGCAGCAGCAGCAGCAGCAGCAAATGGAACAAAAGCAAAGCGGCATCTCAGCCATCAGCAGCAGCAGCAGCAAGAAACATAAAGCAGTAGAGCCTGCAGCAGCAGCTGCAGCAAAAAAAGCAGCAGCAACACCCACGGCAAGAGCACCAGCAGCAGCAGCAGCAGTAGCAGCAGCAGAAAGCCCTACAGCAGCAGCAGCAGGCTCAGCAGCAGCAGCAGCAGCTCCAGCAGCAGCAGCAGCACACCTAGAAGCAGAAGCAGCAGCAGCACACCCAGAAGCAGCAGCAGGAGCGGCAGCACACCTAGAAGCAGAAGCAGCAGCAGCACACCCAGAAGCAGCAGCAGCAGCAGCAGCAGCAGCAGCAGCAGCAGCAGCAGCAGCAGCAGCAGCAGCAGCAGCAGCAGCAGCAGCAACATACCATGAACAAACTGAGCAGAAGGCTTTGATTATTCCGCAGCAGACGCAGCACTGCAGCAGCAGCAGCACGAAAAGCTCCTGCTGTTGCTGTTGCGCCGAAGGCAGCAACAATGTTTTGAGTCAGGCGAAAGGGCACAACCTGAATAATAAATAAATAAATAAATAAAAAATAAATAAATAAATAAATAAATAAATAAATAAATAAATAAATAAATAAATAAATAATAATTCATTTAACTAGTTAATGCTGTGGGGATAAGTGCTGCGCGTCAAGTGCTGCTGGCGCTGTTGCTGCTGCTTGCTGCAGGCTGGCGGCCGCTGGCGCAGCAGCAGCAGCAGCAGCAGCGGCAGCAGCAAGACAGCCAGCAGTGCCAGCAAAGTTCCCAAAGTCCCCCCAGAAGCAGCAGCAGCAGCAGCAATAGCAGAAGGATTGCAGCAGCAGCAGCAGCAGCAGCATTATAACTCCCAGCAGCAGCAGCACCACCACCGCAGCCCGCAGCAGCAGCAGCATTACCACCACCACCGCACTCCGCAACAGCAACAGCAGCAGCAACAGAAGCAGCAGCAGCAGCAGCAGCAGCAGCAGCAGCAGCAGCAGCAGCAGCACCTCTGGAAAAGGCAGCAAGTGCCCCTTGTCGAAAAGGCAATCGAAGTCAACGTGGAGAGCAGCACCAGAAGACAAATCCAATAAAATGTTTTCGCAGTGCCTGCGCACAGAAGCAAAACAAACTTATAAACTGCTGCTGCTGCTGCTGCTGCTGCTGCTGCTGCTGCTGCTGCTGCTGGCAGCGATCACGGCGTGGTGGTTGTGCTGCTGCTGGTGTCCGGAGCAGCAGAAAACGCATGCTGCACCAGCGCAGCAGCAAGCAGCCACTGGAGCAGCAGCAGCAACACCGCAGCAGGTTGAAGAGCCAAAGAAGTAGGAACAGCAGCAGCAGCAGCAGCAGCAACAGCACGAGAATCCGCAGCAACAGCAGCAATACCAGCACCCGCAGCAGCAAACGCAGTGGCAGTGAAGGCAGCAGCGCCCGCAGCATCAGCAGCAGCAGCAGCAAAAGCAGCAGAACCTGCAGCAACAGCTGCTGCAGCGCCTGCAACAGTACCCACAGCAGCAGCAGCAGCAGCAGCAGCAAAAGCAGCAGCAGCAGCAGCAGCAAAAGCAGCAGCACCCGCAGCAGCAGCACCTGTCGCCTAATCCAATAACATAGCCGAAGGCAGCCCAAGCAGCAAATGTCTCTGTGAAATTTCTCCGCGCCAAAAACCAGCGAGAAGGGTCTTCTCCAAACCAGTCAAAATATACTCTGCAGCAGCAGCAGCAGCAGCAGCAGCAGCAGCAGCAGCAGTAGCAGCAGCTGGGAACGAGGGTGACAGTTCAGGCAGAAGCCGCGACAGAAACGCAGCAAGTGAGGCTCTTGCAGCAGTAAATACAGCAGCAGCAGCAGCAAACCGCAACAAACAAGAGCAGCAGCAGCAGCAGCAGCAGCAAACCACAACAAACAGGAGCAGCAGAAGCAGCAGCAGCAGCAAGCCGCAACAAGCGAGAACAGTCGCAGCAGCAGCAAACCGCAACAAGCGAGAGCAGCCGCAGTAACAGCAAGCCGCAACAAACAAGCTCAGCAGCAGCAGCAGCAGCAGCAGCAGCAGCAGCAGCAGCAGCAGCAGCAGCAGCAGCAAACCTGTGGAGGACTGGGGGAAAGACGGGAA